CGCAAACATAGTATCCGCAGATGGTTGTCCCCTGTTTCTTGCCTCGTAACCCACTTTTACGAGAAAAAAAGATCCGGTGAATTGAAAGCATGCATGGTGTTAATTGAATTATATATATAAATGTAGCTAGTACTTACTTTGTGTGCGATTACATCCAAGTGGTGCTTTGCAATGTTTCATGTGGTGTTTCTCAATGAAACTTTTTTTTTAAACACTCTTACCAATAAAATAAAAAATAAATTTGGCATTTAATAATTATTGCAGTTAAGAGATCAGGGTATATATAGTTGCTAGAGAGACCAAATTACCCTTGGATAATATCTATCATGTCTTGGTACTCTGTTTGCTCTTTTCTTAACGAGTCTAATATGCTCAACCGACTATTGGCTATATCGATGACCATCAATATCCAGTGATTGCTGCATATGTTTTTATACATAAATATGATCGATATTAACTAGAGTTAACATATGTATATGTGGGAGATAGCTTAGCTAGTAAGCAAATAATTGAACAAATGTCCATATGATCGACATTAATTATTTAACACTCACTTGAAGTTGTAGGAGAATAGTATGTCCTTGTTTTGTTGGTTCACAAAGAACCTCATGAGATTTTTCTCGAGTTCAGCTTTAATCACAATCATCATAAAATAAGTATAAATTAACCATAATCATCAAATGCGACAAAATAACTCACATTACGATCCGGACACTTGTAAAAGATACGGCCCTTGTTGAGACACTCCTTCCTCATCCGGTACTCCATCACAATCTTCTCCTCACTTGCCGCATGCAATGAGAGGAAGGTCTGGCCTTAGTCGCTTTGGAACCCGATGAGAGGCCGAGGATCCGGAAGCAGTTGCCATCTACTCTCTATACTCATTTTTAATATAATATAAATTTCTCATTTTATAAACAAATAAAATTAAAAAATCTCTAAAATTCTCTATCTCTAAACCATGAAATGTGCTATGCATGCTAGAAATGAAAACTCAATACTAGTTTTGAATAACTACTTTAACCTTCCTTCATCCAAATACGTAAACTTTAAAGTGATTTTGAGCTTAAATGGCTTACAAATAAAAAAATCTACCATAAAAAAACACATATATCTAGTCCACAAAATGAAATAAGCTATTGATGAAACATGAGAGTATAAAGTTGGTAACCTTTAGAACCGAAGAATCGATGGAGGAATGGAAGAAATCTCATGATACACCGGTGATGAGGAAGAAGAGAGGCCGGCGATGAAGCAAGAACACTGAGCTCGAAGTGGCTCGGGCTCGGGGAGGAACAAGGGCTATATAGGAGGGGACCTTTAGTCTCGGTTGGAGACAGAAACCGGGACTAAAGGTCCCTTTCTAGTCCCGGACGGAGCCTCCAGCCGGGAGTAGACTTTTACTCCTGATTGGAATCGGGACTAAAAGTCCCCTGCAGAAAAAGCCTGCCGCAGTAGCCGTTGGACAGGGACCTTTAGTCCCGATTGGAGCTACAAACCGGGACTAAAGGTCTCTCTAGTCTCGGGCGCGAAAAATACCGGGACTAAAGCCAAATTTTGAGCTGGATCAAAGGTCGTTTCTCTACTAGTGACCAATGCCGCTTAAAAGTACCAGGCCGTGTACAAATATAACCATATAATAAAAATTGAACCATACAATAAGCAAACCATGTCACCATGATAATTTTAGTCGCCGCACCAATAAATATTTTTATTAGCAGAATAAGTAACCTGATAATTGTTGTAAGCCATTGTTGTAGGTTGATTGCCTATGGAGCCCATTCCTATTTGTGTCTATTTCATTAGTTGTATTCCCATCTGCAAGTTTGAACATAGTATAAATTGTTATTAATTATAACACGTATGACAATTAAAGTGACACTCAGCAACATCACCATACCTGTTGAATGGGCAACCATATTATTATCAAGATCAACATTCTCTTGGTTAGTCATCTTATACCTTTTGACATCGTTTCTTGTTTCTTTCACTCCTCTTTTCATCAGACATTGTTGCATACCGTTCTCTCCCCTCTGCTTCTTCTGCTCATTAGGATCTCCATCTAGTAGCACCAACCCTAGTCGGGTATGATTCCCTTTAATAAAGCTTGGTGAGGAGTTGCAAACATATGAATATAGAATATGTAGAGAGGCGCCCAGATCCAGAGAGGGAGGGGAGGGTGGGGCCACACCAGAGAGGGAAGGGAGGGGAGCGACGCGCCGGTGCCGGAGAGAGGGCATGGGCGGACAGATCTAGGGAGGAGGCAGGGGAGCTGAGGGCCGGGCGGATCTAGTGAGGGGAGGGCGGGGCCATGTCGGAGAGGGGAGGGGGGGGCTGGAGGAGAGGGAGGGAGGGCGGGGCCACGCCACCGGAGAGGGAGAAGGGGAGGGATGGGAGGCGGTGCCACGCCAAAGATCGGAGAGGAGGAGGAGGAGGAGGGAGGGGGGGCGTGCCGGAGAGGGAGGGGAGGGGTGCGTCGGTCCGAAAAGGGAGGAGGGGAGGGAGGGGAGGGGTGCCGGCGGGGGAAGAAGAAGGGGGAGGGGAGGGGCGCCCACTGGGGCCAGTTAATTAAGTTGGTTTTTTCCTTTGCCGAGTGTCCTAGATCTAGGCACTCGGCAAAGTTTTTTTCATTTTTTTCTTCTCATTCTTTCCCAGAAAAAAGATTTTATTTCTTTGCCGAGTGCAAAAAAGAAAACACTCGTCAAACCCCCTTTTTACCGAGCCTTTTTTTGACACTCGGCAAACCTCCTTGTCGGGGACCTAATACCGGGGTACCCGATGAGGTGGAGCTAATAACCATCACATGTTGATACTTCCGATCAGACAAGAATGCAACGACACTTCTTGGCCGAACGACAGAAGCTTGTTCCGCCTCGCCCGACCCTTGAGGGCTGGCTCCGCCTCGCCCGACCCCAGAGGGCTAGACTCCGCCTCGCCCAACACATGAGGGCGGGCTCCGTCTCGCTCAACGTCCGAGGGCTGGCTCCGCCTCGCCCGACCCCAAGGGGCTAGACTCCGTCTCGCCCAACGTCCGAGGAGGGGTTCCGCCTCTCCCGACGACTGCACCCTGCTCCTTCATAATGATGGGCACAGGGTAAGACAAGCCATTCGGGTCAACTGCGGTCGAGGACCATGCCCTGCACGCCTGCAGGAAGGTACTATCAGGACACGATGGGATGGGCACTTTAGGCCCTTCTAGGCATGGCGAAATCGAACAGTGATTGTAGGCGCTGACTTTCGTCTTATAATGTTGTGGGCGCCGCCTTTGGCCCTCGGTCGCGGATCCTGACGAGAGGCATACGACAACCACTACGGTCCAGGAAGCTCACATCATCTACGGTGACGGACGTGCGGTCACTGTGCCGTCTGCTCCCTGTTTGGTCGCGGGTCAGCGCCCTTGTCCGCTGCGCCGCCCGCCGGGCCAGGATGGGACGTGTCGACTTGTTGACTCCACCAACGGGTGTCATCATCACGGACAGACGCCCAGCATAGCCCTATCGAGATCATCAGGCAGGAGCCCGACATAGGGCAGCCTCTGCCACCGCCTGCCATGACAGCGGGGCCCACATAGAGGAGGAGGAAAATCCGGCGTCCCTAGGCGGAATCCCTTGGCCTCTGGTTTTTTCTCCTTTCTCCCGTTTGTAATCTCTGCTCCCCCTTGGTCTATAAAAGGGAAGGCAGGGCACCCCACTAAAAGGACGGACGATTCCTATGCACAACACATCACATAACATACAGCCAAGCAGCAACCGAGCTCTTGGTGTCCTTTCGACTCTTCCATCAGAGACTTGGGACATGTGCCTCTCTCGACCGTTTGTACCCCCTACTACGAATCTTTTTCGGTGCTAATAACACGAGTAGCAACAGACTGGACGTAGGGACATTCAGCCCGAACCAGTATAAACCTTGTGTCCTTTAGCGCATCATCTGGGTCTAACGCGCAACAAATACAAATTTACTGGTTGGTGTTTATTCGAAACACCGACACTCCTCTTTGTCGAGTGTTTTTAGCGCATCACTCGGGAAAGAACTTGCTTGCCGAGTGTCCGAGAAAATACACTCGGCAAACATAAAAATACTCGACAAATTTGACGTTTCCGGTAGTGCCTGCAGTACGTTGCCGTCCTCAAACAGGTGGCCGGAAGGGGCCCAGCGCGCCGTCGCCAACCGAGAGGGAGGTGTCCAATCGCTGCCATTCATGGGAGGGGCTCCTCGCGCCACTGCCGGCCAGGGAGAAGGGGCCGAGGGTCGCTATCAAAGGAGCGCGAGGAGGCACGAGGGGGCGGTGGCGGCGTGGGCAAGCGCAAGGGGGGAGGGCGCAGGTTGAGGCGCGCGGGCGTGGCTGTGCGATGGGAAAGAGGGTGATTGGAGGTGGAATTTGGGAAAGAGATCGCATGGGGAGCTGATTGGGATCGCGACTTTTTTTTTTCCGGACGGAGCGTTCGTGTGGACTGAGTTTCCTCGGATCGATTGACGTGGGCAGCAGATATCATTTCCACATGCTAGTAACAATGAACAACAATCACTCCTTGCCTTGGTCATGCAAATTAAGAGCTTGCATTATTATAGCTCCCTCGTAGTAGGCGTACTGTACATAGGAGTAGAGTACACGAGCGTCGGACGTACGCGAAGCAAAGGAAAGCATCTGTAGCTTGCTCACCTTGTACGCACACGCACCCATCACCAAACACCAATCACCATGCATGAGGACACAAGCAAGCAAAGCATAATCCTGCCAGCCAGCGCGCCACCGCCATGCTCAGCACATGCACATGCACGTACATCTAATCTGCTACCCCTAATAAGATAATAATAATAATAAAGGAAAATGGGTCCACAGGAAGTACAGGAGCTAGATAGATAGATACTCAAGCTAAGGCAGAGACGGCAAAGCAAGAAGAAGAAAACACAAGCAAGGCAGAATGTAATGAAGCGGAACAAGGAAGGAACAACCGAAGCAACGCAACGGGCAGCCTAGCTCAGGGCTCAGGGCTCAGCGCTCAGCTCTGATTGGGAATGGAGGCGATGCGCTCGCACTTGGCCTTCATCCAGCGGAGGCCCCTGCGTATGGACGCCTTCACCTTCCCTTCCACCGCGTACGCCTTGTAGCCGGCCACCCGCCTCCGCCGCTTCATCTCCGCCGGGTCGCCGCCAAGGCCCAGCACGCTCCACGCAGCCAACCACCTCCCCACCGGCTTCACCTTCCGTTGCTGCTGCTGCTCCTCGCCGGCGCCGTAGTAGGGCCGGTACGTCGGCGCCATTTCAGCTGGTTATTTCTGATCTGAGACAATGGCGGGCTGTGGGCTCTGGAGAGAAGAGACGGCTGGATAGATTGGATGCTCTGTAGATGAGAGCAGCCAGACGAGGCTGCTAAATAGCTAGTCCTGCCGCCTGCCTGACGCAGTGACCCTGACGTGTGATGTGAGGACTGACTGAGGAGGAGGAATAAATGGAGCTCAGGGGACTCAGGGATTCTTGCCGGACCGCCAGCGGCATCCTATGCTTGCTTCATCTGCAACGCCATCCATGTCCATGATGACCCCTCGCTGCCTCTCTACCTTGACCGCCGCCTCAGCCGTCCGATCAAAGACCGACCGTTGGGAGAGACTAGACGGGTAGAGGTTGGACGCGGGCCGCGGCGCGTCGACAGAACTGGGCGTTGCTGCTGCTCCACCAAATGGCCTGTCAACCAACGGCCATTTGGTTAGTTTGGCGGCCAGGCCTGGCTGGATCGGGCACCATCATAACATATTTGCGCGTACCACCGCCTCTGCTCCACCAAATGGCCTGTCAACCAACGGCCACGCGCGCCGCAACGAGATCGAGATGGCAGCATCACGTTCCGGTTCAAATATCATAAAATACAACCATCATCGTAGATCCAACGTTATTCATTTGCTCTTTGACGCGTTCCATCCAACTAACCGAGAACATTACACGAACAAAGCTGTCTGCCATTATTCTGGTCAGCTCTGAAGTCTGAATTGGCACTCCTTCCCTTCCAGTTCCAGCTATAAGCCCACTACCGCACTCCTGTCTAGTTCACCGGTCAGTGTCAGTAAGTGTAGCAACAGCTGTTACGAATGCCAACACTAAGTTCAATGTATACACTATGTATACATACAGTTACTAAAATGTATTGTACGAATACAATGAGATCAGAACGGATGAGAGAGAGAGTATGCCGCGGCTTAGGTTAGTTTGTTTTACTAAAGCGAACAAGATAGTTAACAGATTGTGCGGTTCTGAATGTTTGCCATCTCCATCACCATCAGCCTAACAGATTTGCTTGGTCGTAGAGTAGTACAGTGCGAAACAAGCCTGAAGCTTCCTCTGCGTTGGTTGGTTCGTTCATTCCCATGCGAGCGCCCAATCATAGCAAGCTTATGATCGATTCCTCTGTAAGAGCAAGTATAATAGGACATTCTCTTATAATTCACGCGTCCCGCTTCTCTTAGTTAATCTTTCATTTCCTTCCTTCGCTAACCGTCTCTTAGTTTATTCATTCATTTTATAAAGAAAAAGAAAAGAAAAGAAGCTGTCTGCGATTCTGATGGCTTTCTCCTCGGATCCGATGAATTTTCTATATGAAACCTGCCTACATGGCAGTGTCCTGCGTGCCACCATATACTAAAATATAATAACCACCACCACCATCATCGTAAATCCAACGGCATATATAATCCCGTAAGCGTCTCCTGCTCACCACCAAATTGACGCGTTCCATCCAACTAACCGAGAACATTACACGAACAAAGCTGTCTGTCATTATTCTGGTTTCCTTCCTTCCTCTGAGCTCTGAAGTCTGAATTGGCACTCCCTTCCCTTCCAGTTCCAGCTGGGGGTGCCCATTACCGCACTCCTGTCTAGTATGTCAGTAAGTGTAGCAACAGCTGTTACGAATGCTTTCTTATTCTTAGGTTTCCAACAACCAAGTTCAATGGTTTCTATTCTTTTTGAAAACGTATGTATACACACGCACTTTCAGTTACTAAAATGTATTGTATTGTATTCAAGCAGGGATCACACTACCTACCTGGAAATGAACAACAATGCAGGTACCCATATTTATATGATTGGAGATGGTTTGTGTACTCTCTCTCTCCATCCTCTAATCTATCCTTAAGTTATCAGTCGTCCTGGCTGCTTAGATTTGAAACGGAGGAGAGAGGATAGTTAACAAAATGTTCTCTAATAAGGGTTTGATTGTGCGGTTCTGCGTGCGGCGAAGCGAAAGGCCTGAAGAAGCTTCCTGCACTTCATTCATATATTTCCATTTCCATGCCTGCAAATAGCAACAGCATATATAGGCCCAATCATACTCTGTCTATCAGTATTAGGAGCAGTCTAGTTTAGTGATGATATATATACTAACCAACAACAACCACCTACCTGTTATGAGGAGTTCGTTGGTGTCACCGGCAACGGCAGGCAGATAACATAAACATACTCGATCGGATAGTCTCATCCAAATCCAATTAGCTGCTGCGATGCCATGCCTCCACGAATTGTACGTTCTGGATGCTCTCAACCTGAACCGCATGGATGCATTGCTCGCCGCTCATCATCAAGTTGATTGATGACAAGCTAGCCAACTGGTGTCGCTCTGTGTACAGCATGTAGGTGGATGCTGCAGGATTCATTCTCCTGCTCTGCTCACCGAATTCACGCGTCCCGCTTCTTAGTTAATCTTTCATTTCCTTCCTTCGCTAACCGTCTCTTAGTTTATTCATTCATTTTATAAACAAAACAACCAAAGAAAAAAGAAAAGAAAGCTGTCTGCGATCCTGATGGCTTTCTCCCTCGGATCCGATGAATGAATGATGAATCGGCACGCTTTCCAGTTCAGGTGTTTTGCCTCCCTGCCTGCCACTTTCTCTGCAATTCGCACGCATCACCTTTTTTTTTTTGCCTTTTTGCCTCCGCCCTCGGCTGCACGTACAGGTGCGCATCACGTAGGAGTGCAGAAAATAAACAGTTAAACACCGCGTACAATAGTCCAGGAAGTACTATTTCTATTTTCTAAATAAGTGTCATTTCCCTTTCAACAAACATCGGCTCAATTTACTCCTTAATTAGGACTACTTCGATTGGTCCTATTTACTTCATCGGGTCTCTATACGCACACGTATATTACGATTTAAATTTACAATCTTTGACTAATAATGTGGACAACAATTTTTAACTAAAATGTACTATCAAATAATAATAAATCTATAATAATAAATAATAATAAAATAAAATAAATAAATGGTCAAACCTAACTTGGTAGACTACATCATATTAAATTGTGCCTTATATAAATTGGATCAGAGGAAGTACCGCCCAGTGAGCCGCTCTTCACGTACCGCTTGAGCTTTTGGTTTTAATGTTTGTACGTTGATAAAGGACACAACATTATATATGCTTTGTAGAGTGATGCGGTTCATAATTTTATTCAATGCGATTAAGGTCCTATTTGATACATAGGGGTTATTGTTTTGGCAAGAGCATGCTAAGAGTGATAAGCCATCATCCAAACTTTGCAAACGTGTTTCATAATTTAGACTAAAATCAGCTCGGCAACAAAAGGACCAAAAGAAAACCACTAACAACACTAAAATAGCAAAAGCAAGGAGCATAACCATTTTAAGAACAAAAGTAGCTTCTAGCATGATTTCACCTATCTATTTCTTTTGAGGTGGTGATTTCACCTATCTTTTGTGTCCTATTTACTAGGAATTGTTTGCAAATGGCTTCACCTAGTGAGCAAGAGGAGGCGAAGAAACCATATTTATGAGACTTTACTTTTGTAGTGGAAAAAAACAATTCCTCCCTTTTAGAGCTTCTCTTGTGATGATTATTCTTCTTCTAAGTTGGTGTTTGACAGGATTTCATTGAAGCTGAACTAACACTCGTTAAGAAAATAGGGCCTCAGTTCTTGTATGAAATTATCACACGACTAGTTTGAGGCAGCTAAGAATGAGCTATAGCCATTAGCTAGCTAACAATAGCCAATTAAAACATGATTATGTCGCACACCACGTTACATAAGCCGTGATATAATAGTATTTTGCAAGCATCCAAATATAACAAATGTGACTACCGCGTCGTTTCTTGAAAAAAAAAGAGTGAGATGAGTGACAACTCTGCTCTCCTGTAGTACTACACTGTAAAGTGCAGACAGAGATGGCCTGCCACATCACTGTCACTACTAACTTTATTAACCAAACAGTCTGGGCTCCGCTTTGCTTTGCGCTGCTCGGTTTAGCTAAGGGCCTGTTTAGTTGCACCCTAAAATGTCAATTTTAGTTGCACCCTAAAATGTCAAATTTTTTAAGATTACTTATCGTATCAAATCTTTGAACGCATGTATGAAGCATTAAATATAAATAAAAAATAAAACTAATTACACAGTTTAGACGAAATCCACGAGACAAATCTTTTAAGCCTAATTAGATTATGATTAGACACTAATTATCAAATAACAACGAAAACGCTATAGTAATGTTTTGCTAAAAATTTTGACATCAGGCCCTAACTAGGTGCGTTGGGTACGTGGATAAAGTTGGCTTTGGGTACGTGGATAAAGTTGGACGGGATAGGACGATCTACGTATACCGGGACAGGATATCATGCAAGCTATTTTTTATTTAGCTGGACGGACGAAAATGAATGAGATTAGAATAGTTGTTTAATTATATCTATTATTTAAAAATAATAACAACTAATTAGACATTAATAAATATGTACTAATACTAATTTTATCATGAAAATAACTAATTTAAAATAAATATGTTAATTAGCACAACTAATAACCTAATTAGCACACAAAACATGCACTAATCAATGTATTAGCACTTATCAAAACTAATCCAACCAACATAATTACTAAGTAATAATATAACATACTAATCATTCTTAATTTATTTACTAATGACAAAGATTATAAGACATGATAAGCTGGTTCGTGAGATTTTTATGAATCAGTAAATCCAACATTTGGGGGTATATTTTCTATCAATGATTTTACTGGTCCAATAATTCATCCAACCAAACGACAGTGATCCATGGATGGTCCAATCTATCCAGACAGATCCAACCAACCAAACACATGCTAACTAATCCAGTGTAGTACAGTAGAGTAATTTTTCAGTGAACACCCTCGTTGTTCCTCAAATCCCATTTGTTACCCTCACTCCCATCCCACCATGCGCCAGCTAATTATCGTTCCGTTTACTTAATTTATAAGCCTTACTTTTTCATCTAACGAAAACATTTTTCTCCCGCATCAAATCAGCCGACAATGACCAAGCGAAAATGGCGTATAACTATATAAGCAAGGAAGGGGACCTTGTCCTGCTCCATCGCCGTCTCTCGGTCTCTTCTGCTCCTCTCCTCTTCTCCCGGGAAGGGAACCCCGGCCGCTACCGAGAGCACACCAATCCCCTCTGATCTGCACCGCCAGCCGCGTAATCTCGGATCCCAGCCGTCCGCACCTCGCCGCGGCCTTCCTTCGCGCCACGAATGGTGGCCTCTGCCTATTGTCTTCTTCCAAGGACCTAACCGAACCCAAGGCGGTAGGTGCCAGCTAAAGTCGGAAGGCAACCACCGGGACCGGGCGGCGATGGCGACCGCCACGATGGAGAGGCGCCTGCTGCCGGCGCTGCCCCTGGCCACACTCATCGACCGCGAGCTCCGCGCAGGGGGCTCCGAGCGCCCGGACCTGCGCTACGGCCACGCCGGCTTCACCAAGCGTGGCGAGGACAACTTCCTCGTCAAGCCCGACTGCCTCCACGTCCCCGGGGACCCCGCATCGGCGTTCTCCGTCTTCGCGGTACGTACCGCCCGCCCGCCCCTCCCTCTCCGCTGCTGCTCTCTATCTTCCTCTCTCTTTCTCTTGCTGCTGCGCCCTGATCTGACGCCCCTCCGCTGCTTGGATCTGGCGCGCCAGGTGTTCGACGGCCACAACGGCGTGTCGGCGGCGGTCTACAGCAAGGAGCATCTGCTCGAGCACGTCATGAGCGCGCTGCCGCCGGACATCGGCCGCGACGACTGGCTTCAGGCGCTGCCCCGCGCGCTCGTCGCCGGCTTTGTCAAGGCCGACATCGATTTCCAGCGCAAGGGTCAGTACCACTGCCACTGCCACCCCGATCACGTACGGTACATTTTGCAGTCGAGCTTGGAGCTCAACGCCACTACCTCTTTCAGGGGAGGTGTCTGGAACCACGGCGACACTGGTGGTCATCGATGGGTTCACGGTCACAGTGGCGTCGGTGGGGGACTCGCGCTGCATCCTGGACACGCAGGGCGGCGAGTTGCAGCTGCTAACCGTGGACCACCGCCTGGAGGAGAATGCAGAGGAGCGGGAGCGCGTCACGGCCAGCGGTGGAGAAGTAGGCCGTCTGAATCTCTTCGGTGGCCAGGAGGTAAACCGGTTCAGTTCGAGCGAATCAGTAACTTGCTTATCCTCAATCAATTGCTTGATACATTTCTGCATCAATGTTGGGGAGTTTAGGTCGGTCCTCTCCGGTGCTGGCCCGGTGGCTTGTGCCTTTCAAGATCCATTGGGGACATGGATGTTGGGGAGTTCATTGTGCCCATTCCACATGTCAAGCAAGTCAAGGTTGATATAAATTACGAAATGCAGGGATCTGCACTTTAGTTTTTCTGTGACGCATGTTATGCTGAGTTGTCAAAGTTGCTTCTTTGTGATTTTTGTAACTTCAGCTATCAAACACCGGAGGAAGGCTGATAATAGCATCAGATGGCATATGGGATGCGTTATCCAATGAAGCAGCTGCACAAGCATGCAGAGGATTGCCTGCAGAACTGGCAGCGAAGCTTGTCGTCAAGGTAATTCAGCATTTAGCTGGACTACTTTGAGGCCCTGAATGGTGCAGCTACTATGGTTGGCTCAGTTTCTAATTTCAATGTCCATTGTTATGTCCATGCAGCAAGCTCTGAAAACAAGTGGGCTAAAGGATGACACCACCTGTGTCGTAGTTGACATTATACCATCCGATCATTTGACATCACCGCAATTGTCTCCAAAGAAAAATCAGAACAAGTTGAAGTCACTTTTTCGTAGAAGATCGCATAGTTCAGTTGGAAAGCTTGGAGGCAAGTCTGCCTCCATTGGTTCTGTGGAGGAGTTATTTGAAGAAGGGTCCGCAATGTTAGAAGAAAGGTATGCTTGCTGTTCAAATGCTCCACTGCATTTGTCTTTGTGTTAATTTCTTTGTCATAGATGAGCAGTATCATTTTCTTTCGTGCTACTCACTGAGCTCGTTTTCATATTCGATTTCAATATAACATATATAATGTGTGGCATGGTGAACCTTGTTAGTTTCTTAGCATATCTGGATAGCTGTTTTATTTCTAGGAGCTTTGTCTTTAAGCCTATTCCCATTACCAACTTACATTATCTTTTATACGTGCTCAGTGAAGCTTTCGTTGACCATGTCTTGTCAATTTTATTTGAGATGTCAGAGCTATTTTAGTGAGAAAAGGTTAATCTAGACCTTTCAAACACAGCCAAGTTTTTTCATAAACTAGAGCACTGATGGTGTTTTACTTGTATTCTGTATAAATGACGAGAGTGTTTATCTGAACTTGGTGTGCTACCATGAGCTGGGTATCAATCTTAGGAGTACAAGTTATCTTCCTTCCCTTTTTCCCCCGTTTTTCATCTACATGCATACAGGATTAACAATGTACATTCTTTGATTTTTTGTATCAGCTTTACAATATACTATTTGCCCAGGTGTACATGTAATATGTTATCAGAGCTACATTTTGAAGTCTTACCTCTAGTCTCTAGATGTGACATCAAATGTTTCAGCTGCAAACCTGGGATGAACAAACTCTTGTTTAGGGAACTCTTCTCTAGTTTGGTTACAACTTAGGAATGCTTTCGGACTTTGAGTCTGTTGCTAAAAATTTCATGGTTCTCAAATGCTTACTTTGGATCACTGCACTGCATTTTGTTGAGAAGGGCTAAACTATAAGGCCTCTATGTTTTCGCTGGCTTCTATCATCCTACGGTGCCATTAACATCCAGGCCTTGCTGTTGCAGGTTGGGTAGGAATTTGTCCTTGAAAGCAGCTTCACCACCTTTTCGCTGTGCAATCTGCCAAGTGGACCAAGAGCCATTCGAAGATTTGATGACAGATAATGGAGGTGGTTACTGCTCTTCCCCATACGCTCCATGGGGTGGTCCATATCTCTGTTCGGACTGTCGGAAGAAGAAAGATGCAATGGAAGGTAAAAGATCTAGCCGCTCTACAGCATGCAGGTGAAACAATCAAGACCCTGTCTAAGTCAAGCCTGCGGCCTGTCTGCTTCACAGAGAAAAGAAGCAATGAGAGGACAATAAGTTGCTGGATCCAAGTATAATTGTTTGCTGAAACTAACTGTATTGCCAGCCCGGTACAAACATATTTGGCTGGTGAGCGCTAACTAGTCTGTTACCTGCGTACAACCCATATGGAAAAGTTTGATGTTGCGGAAATAGCTCAAATGACTTGCTTGTAGTTTTGATGTACCCTGTAGTGTGCCTCTTGTGCAGGGAAAAATTGACCTGCCTATTGCTGCCTGTGATTTTTTTTCCCTTCTATAAAATAGCTACTGAGAGTTCTCTTTGTATTAATCGTGGAACATATTTTTGGTGGGATTGAAGCAAGTAAGAAACATGTTGAGTTTTGAACTATTCAATGTCGACAGATGCAGAGTATAGTTGATTGGTCAGATTGGTGTTGTGGTAAGCAGTGAAATGCTGAATTTTTTCCAGAGATTTGCTTTGCAATGTTCAGTTGGAATAGAACTGCTGAATTTTTGAAGGGATGGATGTATTGGTCCCTAGTACTCGAATGAACAGAACTGGTTATTATTATAAAGCGTACAATGTTGAGAGCAGCAGCTCAAAAGGCATCTTCTTGAGAAATCCTCATATCACCATGGAACAGCACGGTTATTATTATTTAGTTCACGAAATGAAAATTTCGTACAATGTTGAGAAAAAAACTAATTACAGCAGCTCAAAAGGCAATTTATTGAAATCCTAATAATCCATTATTAGCGCATGCTTGAGAAATGGACTAATTAGTCTTAAAACATTCACGATTTCCAACCAAACTGTGCAATTAGTTTTTTTTCGTCTATATTTAATCCTTCATGCTTGTGCCGCAAGATTTGATGTGATAGTTTGAGGTGAAATTTTTTGGGAAATAAACAAGGCCTTACATCCAGAACGCCTGCGCCTCAAACATGTCATATTTGGACAGCTTGTACTCGCCCGCAGGCCGGCGAGCTGTGATGGTGAGCTCGCCGTCGTCGTCGCCATACTTGACGCGAAAGGTGGTGAGGCGGAGCACGCATTTGTCTCCGTCGCCGAGGCATCCTTTCCTGTCGACACCCTCGCGCGTCAGGATCTCGACAAGGCAGAAGTTGCCGCCGCCACCCATGGGCACGAGCTTCGCCTCAATGTGCCGCTCTAGGTCCACGACGAACAGCTTCTCCTTGCTGAGCTTCCAGGGCGGCGGCGGACCCAGCGCCGGCGGCGGAACGTCGCAGCAGCAGAGGTAGCCGTCCGTGTCCAAGGCGTTGTATCTGCCAGGTTGAAAGTGGAAGTGGAGGCCGATCCATGTGGCCAGGTCGCGGTCGTAGTGCGCCTGGCCTTGGAACGGCAGCTGCCAGTCGCTATGGTGCGTCCACTCGCCGCGCTCCGTGTCGTAGGAGAAGGTAACCGTGGCCCAGGCCCGGTGGCCGTCGGCGTGGTTGCACACGTAAAGGGACGACACGAAGAAGGCGCGTCCCCCCCCGGGTGCAACGCGTGAGCGTAGATGCCATCCATGAGAGGGTGCAGCGCGTGAGCGCAGATGCCATCCGTGTCAGGGATGGTGTGGTCGGACCAGCGCCACCGCGGTTTGGAGTACAAGGACTCGTCCTCACCGCTGCCGCCGCCACCATGGGTATCCTCCTCCTCTTCTTGCTCGAGGCAGTGCATGCCGCGTCCCTCGGCTTGGAAGAGCCAAAGCTTGTTGCCCGCGGCCACGGCGAGATCGAAATAGCAGTCACGCATCTCAGCCGGTACGCCATGCAGTATGGTCAGCGCCGCCGTCTTTAGGTCGAAAGCCACGGTGATGGCGTCACGGCGGACGAAGGTCTCTTCGCTTCCGGTGCCTATGCCGATGATGTTGCTGCCCAGGACCGCGACGTACGGGTCGTTGTCGTAATCACCGAAAGTCGGGTACTGCATGCGGAATACAGGAGGCCCGGGGAGGCGCCCAACAACGTTGTCATCGTCGTCGTCGTCGGTGTCTATGTCCAGCTTGTGGACGCTGCACCCTTTCTCCATATCGTCCAGCACAAGGTACAAAAAATGCTGCTGGTGCTGCTCCGATGCAGGGACGACGTCCTGTGGTGTCCGTCGTCGCACTGGGCTCTGCCGCGCTGGACCAAGGAGTCGTCCCGACGATCGCCATCGCTGGCGTCCGAGACGTGTCTCCGTGAGCCGCCGCCCAGGACAAAGGGCGGCTCGTTGACACGGCGACGGACGGCGTGGAGTTGGGAGAGGAGGGAGACGCGTGGTCGACTCAGAAACGACCACATCGTGTGTCCTCCTGATCCGGCGCCGCGCCGCGCCGCGCCGCCCGCCGGTGCTTGATTTGGTGAAGGAGATGGATACTACTAGATCCCAAATTTTCGTATATATATAGCGATCGCAGATTGATTGATTTGTTAGGATTTTGGGTCAGGCCGAAAGAATGGGATTTTTGCAAAACAACCCAAAATTATAGGACTTGCTATATTTCGTGTCCCTGAATTTTTAGACAATCTCCCTCTTAATGAAAAACGTGCCTCGTGCCACGGTTGAGAAAAAAATTAGACAACAATCTTACACAATAAATATATAGTACAATTAAAATGACAACTTAGAAAGAGATAATTCACACTTTTTTCCCATAAATTTATAGGCAAACAATGATAAAATTACATGTTGTCAACCACAACAAATTTCAGATACATGAGATAAAGGAGAAGTGGAGAGTGAGGTTGAACAAAAGAAACACTGTAGAAAATGTATGTGCACGAAACATATACAATATATGCCTTTTTTTTTTTTGGCCTTGAGTTTTGCACTATTCAATGTTGATAGATGCAGAGTATATACCCCCTTCGTCATGTTCAGTTGGAATTAGAACTGCTAAATTTTGGAAGCCATGGATGTATAATGTATTGGTCGCTAGTTCTAGTACTCGAGTGAACTGCTGAATTTTGGAAGCGTACAATCTTCTGAGCAGCAGGGCCAAATGAAATGCAGAGCTGAACAGCAGCTCATAAGGCATCTTCTTCAGAAATCATCTAATCACCATGGAACGGCACGGTTTGTTACATACTTACATCCAGAACGCCTGCACTTGAAACAGTCGACATACCTGGACAGCTTGTACTCGCCCGCAGGCAGGCGATCGGTGATGGTGAGCTCGCCGCCGCCGCCGAAGCTATAGTTAACGCGAAAGGTTGTGAGGCGAAGCACGCATTTGTCTCCGTCGCCGAGGCATCCTTTCCTGTCGACCCCCTCGCTCGTCAGGATCTCGACTAAGCAGAATTTGCCGCCGCCGCCACCCATAAGCACGAGCTTCGCATCAATGTGCCGCTCTATGTCCACGACGAACAGCTTCTCCTTGCGGAGCTTCCAGTGCGGCGGCGGCGCTGGCTCGTCGTCTCTACTATGTTGAATGTGGAAGTGGAGGCCGATCCATGCGGTCAGGTCGCGGTCGTAGTGCGCCTGGCCTTGGAACGGCAGGTTCCAGTCGCCATGGTGGGTCCACTCGCCGCGCACCGTGTCGTAGGAGAAGGTAGCCGGGCCCCGGTCCCAGCGGTCGAGGTCGCGGTCGCTACCTCCTCTTCCAGCTCGAGGTAGTGTGCATCCTGCGTCCCTCGTCTGGGAAGAGGTAAAGAGTGCTGCCCGCGGCCACGGCGAGATCGACATGGCGGTCTTGCATGCCACGCGGTAGGCCACGCAGGACGTTCAGCGCCGCCGTCTTTATGTCCAAAGCTACGGTGACGCCGCCGCCGCCGTATCTGCCGTTGAAGGCCTCTTCGCTTCCGGTGCCTATGCCGATGATGTTGCTGCCCAGGACCGCGACGTACTGGTGGTCATCACCGAGCGTCGGGTACTCCATGCGAAATACAGGAGGCCCGGGGAGGCGACCAACAACGTCGTCGTCGTCGTCAGCGGCAGCGCGGTCTATGTCCAGCTTGTGAACGCTGCACCCTTTCTTCACGTCGTCCAGCACAAGGTACAAAAACTGCTTCTGCTGCCGGGACGTCCTGTGGTGTCCGCCGTCGCGCTGGACCAACGCGTCGTCCCGACGATCGCCATCGCTGGCGTCCGAGACGTGTCCCCGCGAGACGCTCACGGTGCAGTTAGCGGCGCGCAGGACGTTGACACGCCCACGGAACGCGTGGAGTTGGGAAAGGAGGGGGACGCGAGATCGACTCAAGAACGACCGGCACGCCCACATCGTCTGCCCTCCTGATCCGGCGCCGCGCCGCCCCGCCGGTCCTTGATCTGGTGAAGGAGATGGATACTGTTAGATCAGGAATTTCGTATACATAGTGATCGCACATTGGTTTGTTAGGATTTAGGATCAGGAGGAAACAATGGGATTTTGCAAAACAATGAAGAAATATTCAGAGTTGATGTATTAAGGTACCTTAATTTTCAGAAAATTTCAAGCAACAATCTCACACAATCAACTAGTCTACAACTAAAAAGAGCAACTCACACAAACGGAGCATAGCTCAGTTGGTTGGGTTTCTTACGACGAAACTTGCTCACTTGGATTTAAGGTCATCTTTGGATGAGATTCTAAAATCCGGATTCTGGATTAAAATAAACTCTGATGTGTTATAATTCCCTAGAATCATATGGTGTTTGAAAGGGATTCTAGGATTCTATTTTTTATCTAGATTCTTAAAAATCCCTAGGTATCCAAATGGGACCTAAGTCCTCTAATGTGGGATAATTCAAGAGTTTTTAAGATTTTCTATTTAAATCAATTTATATATCAAATATACTCCATATATAAATATATGGTATGGGGGATAAGCCCTCATATAAGAGGGGGACATAAAAAGAAGGTAAAATTCCATTCAAATAGTTAATTAAGTTCAGAAGGCTATTCCACAATTGAATTCTAATTAAAAAATTTGACACGCGTGGTCGTATTTTTCTGGAATTTATTTCAATATGTAACGGAGCTATTCTTTTAGGCGACAAGTACAAAGCTATTCTTCGAGGGGACCAGTTTTTCTTAATACAAGTCATTCTTTCGATGTTTTGTTTTTATGGATACCAGCTGTTCTTTTAGGCGACTGGATTTTATGGATTTATTCTAATATTTAACGGAGCTATTCTTTTAGGCGACATGTTTTTTTTTCTGTATACACTTTTAGGCGACGGATTTTTCTGGATTTATTCCAGTATTTAATGGGCTATTCTTTCAGGCGATTCTTTTAGGCGACGGTTCTTGGTGGAAACAAAGCTATTCTTTCGGGCAACGATTTTTTTT